TCCACATGGTAGGCACAAACTGTCCTTTTAGGTAGACAGTGCTAGGATTTTTTTTAACCTTGTGACAATGAAAAAAACAACGATAGATTTCCAATTCAAGGTGGCAAATCACTTAACAGGGAAAAACCAGATTGTGGCACAATCATGCAACCAGCACCACTGTTCTTCTAGACTGCAGAGGGCATAGGTTTAGAAGGCTATTGAATAGCCCTTGGCAGTGGTCCACACTACAGCCATTTTGAATTGGTGCTGGAGTAAAAGTGAATGATAAAGGTGGAGCAGATAACTTTGAAAAAAGAACTTCAAACCTCCAGTTCATAATTAAAAGAATTACATGGCAAGATTTCAGGTTTTAAGAGTTTTACTGCAATAAACATTGCCAAACCAGTATTTTTGTAGGTAACTCGCACTTTAAACTATAGAACAGAATTTACCCCCCAATTTCATTTGACTCAAAGTGAAGATCATTTTACAGAGATATTTTACACTCTCAATTGATTTTTCCCAGAACTAGTCCAAACAGACTCAACTCATGAAGGTTACTTCCATTCCTTTCCTTTCCCAGCCTGGTAGCCTTTAACTCTGGAACTATTCTTCATAGTGAGAATATTTCATGTAAGTTTTATCCTCTGACACAAACTAAATAAATCTTCCAAACTCACTTTAAGTACTCACAAATACCTCCCACCCTCATTCTGCACGATGAAACACAGAAACCTTTGGTGTTAAGTTGCTCTATTTCTCCTGCATCCCAGCAGATTAACTTCTCTGTGAGATTCAGTTATATTTTAGAGCCCCTTGCCTTATCAAAGCCTATCTCCATAACAACATGAAGTAAAACGCAGAATGTATCCAGGAGAAATGGTTATTAGCTATCTTTGAGATGCAAATCTCTTAGCATAAACTGACATTCTCAACACCTTCCCGGGACTTTGGAGACAAGCAGTATAACCAATATACTGCTATTGTCTGAATGCCAGCAAGTGCAATATCTTATACTAGGGCTTCCAAAAAATGCATGTCACAACCCTCAGTGGGAGTCATGAAGCAAGACTTTGGGGTTGTATACTCCGAAGCAGTATTGGCTCCACTTAACAAATAAAGGGCTGTCTCTACTTTCTCACTCAATATTTCTTGGACACCTGCAAACTTTCATATGGACAAAAAGACTGAGGCATGATAATGGAATTATGTTGGAAGAAGAGAAGTTTGAGAAACACTTCCTTATACCTTCTTTCTAGCAATTCAATCCAGGCCACCCTTTAATTTTTTAACGGCCATGCTATCGAGCCTGTTGCTAGGCAGACTTTAGAATAGGTCATTTTACCCTGAAATAAAGACACAGTCCCAAAAAAGATAAAACCCTTATAATCCTCATACCTGTGACATGATTAAGCAGACTTCTTTGTCTTAAACAATGTCAAGCTTTCTGGGCATTATTTGAAGCTGCGGTCATTGAGGGGAGATTATTCTATCACACCCCTGACTTGCACCTTGTGTATGATGGAAAGAATTTGAGGAGTCAGCAAATGAAGTACTAACCTTTGAGACACAGAATAATTTGCAGGGACTCTTCATGGAAATAGGGCCCAGATCATCTGTTTAGAAGATAGTCATCGGGACAACATACCCAAACAGTTGCGCGAAGGGAAAACCAAAAGAACTGTGGATGCTGTAAATCAGGAACAAAAACAAAGTTGCTGGAAAAGCTCAGCAGGTCTGGCAGCATCTGTGAAGGAGAAAACAGAGTTAATGTTTCGGGTCTGGTGACCCTTCCTCGGTTGTGCTAAGGGACAGCCTGGAAACCTCAATGCACTGATTACCTGGAGGTTACCGGAGAATTTTGA